CTGCCGGGTTAAACCACGACAGTTAGGGACAAGAAATCTTTTCTGAGGGCATCTGTATATCGTGGGTTGATCATAACAAAAAAAAATAGTTATATGCCATGTATTTCTAGTGTCCAGCTTATAAGCTATAAAACTCTGTATTGCTACAGTAGTTATTTACAAAAATGAACTGCCTGAGATGACCTGGTTTTAAAAATATCCAGCACACAATATTTCAAGTGAATCTAAGAAAAGATTGAATCTTTTTGTTTTGATTTATACACACAGGACTTAAGTATCTATCTTCTCAATTTGTTTTCAACCATGTACACCTCATACCAAAATTTAGGGTCTCATTTACTCCCCCAGCCCCCCAAAGTTATTCTGATATAACATTAGGCAAAGCCCACAATTTTCTCTTAAAGAGGAAATAGAATGACTTGCTTTGCACCTAGGGATTCAGACTCTACCTGACCTCTGAACGGTAATTAGGACCTTCACAATAGGAGAAACAACGTTTGCAAGATTTGTCTTCTGAATTCTAATGAGTGGATGAATTTCAGAATCCTTAACACCGATCCTCTCAAATGCTCCAAAGAACACGCCACCTGCTTTACACAGGTCGTACTGCAGGTCAAGCAGCAAGTTAGCTATTTGGCTTAGCTAATGGAGGTGTCACAGGGCAATTGTAGCTCTGAGGCTTAAAATTTGCTGGGAGAGACTGACGGTTGAGTCAGATGGTAACCAACACAGGAAATACGGAGTTATGTTATCCTTTATTATATTTAAAAAAAAGAAAATCCATCTACTATTTTTAATCTTACTACTAATGTTATAATTATGCGTAAACAATATGTATCCCAACATCTACAATGACGATGTGTAGTCTTACATACACAAATCACACGGGCTCATTCACACGCTAATTTACACGTTGTTACAAACCCACTACCTTTCTACCCATCAGTGACTCAGCGTGGCAGCACCAGGGAAGCCACGTGCTTGTGCACTACCCGATGGGTGACCCAGAGGGGTGTCCATGCTGATGTGGAAGGACAGCTACAGCTGGCCGCGGGTGCTGCTAATGAGGTGGACTGGGGCCTGCGTGAGTCAGTCCTTTCCCTCATGCACCCAGCAAAGTCAGGGGCCTTTCTGTGATCAGTGGTTACAAGTGGGTCTTCTCTGGAGTCTTCAAAGCAACTTCCCCATACGTGCGATGCCATGGCTTGGGCTAATGTCAGTGATCACTGGTGTAGTCATTTCATGGGTATTTTCAACCTGTCATCTTAAATATCATCAGTTAATTTCCTTTTTCGTTTTACTAGCCATTTTCAAGCTGCAGTTTTATATACTTGTCTCTGACAGACTTTGGATATCAAGGGAAGGGGCTATGAGAACTCATCCACAGGAGGATGTTTGTATAGGGTGTCTGTCTTTCTCCAGCCTGGTCTTTCCCTTTTCCTCTTCCTACACAACTTTTAGATACAGTAGATTTTGGAGGACATTGTGTAGCTTATCTAGTTATTTGGGCTTCTTCAGAAGGGGTTTTTTTTATGTTCCTGAAGTCCTGTTTTTCAGTGTAAGATAAATGACTCTTTAGAAGTATTTCTACTGATTGACTTTAAGCGTATGAGCTAGATGCCTCTAGTTAAATGATTTACTACTTACTACAGGAAATAAGATACTAAGAGAAGCTCTGATAAAGGCATATAAAAATATAGGGCATAACTTCCTTTATCTGACATCTGAATAGTTTGACTAGTCATGGTATTCATCTACTCTCTGGTAGATAATACTTTACCTATTGGGTCTTACTTAATTTTGAACTTTATTATTTATTAATTTAAAATCAACTGCCTATGAACTGTTCCTTGCATTTAAAAAGCAAGTAGGGACTGATTTTTGAATAAGCTTAGATAGCTGTCTCTAGAAAGTATATTGTGCTTTTAAGGTTCTCATTAAACAGTATTTGAAACTAGCCGGGCTCTACTGTGTTACACAAACCATCTTAAGTGGAAAGGCCAGGGTATACTTCAGGAGGATGGATTCCAGTTTAATGCTCATGTGGTCACCACGCATGATTCCTCTGCAGCGTACCTCTGGCTGCTGATCTGGAAAATGCCGGTAGCTCAAGAGTTCAAGCAAAGAACCAGTGGAAGGGATATGAATATTTAAATTATGTCTAGCTGCTGGAAGAGAGCATTTGTTAAATAAACTTTAAGCTGCTTTAGGCAAGCCATCGCTCATGTGTCACCACGCATGATTCTGTACGTTCCTCTGCAGCGTACCTCTGGCTGCTGATCTGGAAAATGCCGGTAGCTCAAGAGTTCAAGCAAAGAACCAGTGGAAGGTATATGAATATTTAAATTATGTCTAGCTGCTGGAAGAGAGCATTTGTTAAATAAACTTTAAGCTGCTTTAGGCAAGCCATCAATTATTTGATTGTCCCTGCTAGTTGTTCAAAGTATTTTTGTATGCAAGGTAGAATGGTAAGTGTTCCTCATCTGCTTTAATATTATATTTGCAAAGTTATATTCTGTAAATTCACAATGGACTATTAGAGCGCATTTGGCAACAGATTGAGCTTTCCACGCATGCAATATAGTCAAAGCCGTAGAACTTGTGTTCCAATGAAATAAGATAGTCATCTTGGATATGTAGTGAGCACACTTGCCAGAAGGGTGTGGGACCTTGGTTGACTAAAAGACAGAGTCTGTCATACACAATGTCCTACCTTTTCCACCAAAAGAAACCTCCAGTATCATAGTTTTTGGGGGACTGAACCTGTGTTTCCTCCTTTGAAGAAAAGTGGAAATTAGAAGGGGAAAAAAAAAAATCGCACTAGTAATACTTTGAGAGTATGTCATGCAAGAAGCTAGATGTTAACTTTATTAGTTCTCCAAACCTACTTTTATCGAGGGAAGGGGGTGTTGTTTATTTGTTTTGGGTTTTTTTGAGCTCAGGAGAGCCTATGTCTTTTCAAGAGTGGAGGCATAAAGAAATTTGAAGTCTCTCTTGAGGAATTAACAATTGTATATTTTTATGTCTAGGGTGTCAGTTTGTCAGTATTCCAGCTTATACTGAAACATCAACAGCTGTTTTGGAACTTCGTGCTTTGATGTTTTGCAGTTACAGCTTAAAGAAACTTAGTCATATTCCACTTCTTTAAAAACGATGTATAAATTAGTTTTTCTAATGCTACAAATTAGATAGAAATTACAATGTATCAGGCAGGACTGAAATTTAAAGTTGTTACTGTTAGGAACATTTGTACTAGTTTAAGCCGAAGCATTTTAAGCCACCTGTAATTGTTTGGGATAGGTTCACAAGCTGAGAATGATGCAGGGTTGGGTTTTTTTGCATTTTTTTTGGTGCTGTGTTGCAAGTGGATTTGATTGCAGTGCAGAATTTTCATGAAAATGGGTAGGCTACTTAAATGGTTAGTAACAGAAGAAGCTTCTGTGACAGAAGATCCCAAGGGAACCAACCATTAGCCTACGCGGTATAAGTTTGGGGAAGTTCTGGTCAAACACTTGCCCGGACTCTTGTGTGCCAGCTGGTGGTAGGAATAGAGGACGTGCAAAATTACTCTGAGCCCCTGCATCTGGAGGTTCCCATTCTGCTTTCTATGCCTTCTGCACTGCTCATGCAATATTAATAAAAAAAGACAAAACCAACAACAAAAAAAACCCCAAACTTAAGCCCAGGTGGTCTAGCATGGAGTTCAGACATCATGTATAACTTTTAGATGCTTTTGTTGTAAGATTTCAGTTACAATGTTGCAATGTTTTAATTCTCTCATGTTTGTTATCTTAAATTGTATACCACATAGATGTAGTTTGAAAGTCTTCGGCTTCAAGTGCTTCCCTTATGGTAGCTGCACAAACAATTAGCATTGTATAAAAAGCTTGTTTTACTTCAGTAGTGCTTATAATTGATCTCTTATTTCTTTGAGTAGATAATGAGCAGAGCTGTTCTTCCAATATGCATTTTGTATATTTGACAGTGAGTGGGACTGCTATGCTTAGTAAAGTTAAATGTAAGCAAATGTATGAAGAATTAATTCTAAAGTCTTGATGGGTAAGGGAAAGACTAATGGTAACTGCCTTGAATTCTGTAAATAAAAAGGCTTTTGGATCAGGAAGTGTTCAGAATAGCTATGATGCTAAATTGCTATATTTTCATACTGGTTTATTTTTGAAAGATAATATGCAGGCTCTAGTTCAGTAACACTGCGCATTATACTTGGGCAAGTAAAAGAAAACGAAACATACCAGTTTTATGAATTTCACTGTGGTGATTTAAGTGATTTATAGAGCCTCCAGCAGGTATGAGTAACTCATTCAATATCTTGGGGAAAGATCAGCTGTACTTGAGTTTCATGGTGGTAAACTAAAAGTATTAGAATGAAAGTGCTAGAGCATTGTGTGATTTATGAGAATACTTTTCAAGGAATAATAGTGTTAGAAAAGGTACAGCTTGTCTAAGACAAAGTGTCTGTGAAAATAAAATTGCTTTTTAAGAGGATGGGTTGCAGGGGGAATAGATGGAGTAGTGGTTTGGGGGTTTTGTTTCGGTTTGTTTTTTTTTTCTTCTAATGAAATTTCCATACTACTGGCTTGTTCTGTTCTCATAGCTATTTATTTTCTGATGATTACCTGTTTGACCCAAAGTGACTTATTTTAGCAAATAGGGTCTAGCAGGCATAATGGTGAGATACAAAAGCTAAGTAATAATGCATTTTTATTTTTAGTAACAGAAAAGGCCCTCTTTACTATTTGAATCATGGAACAATATGGAGTCTTGGAAGGTGCAAGTATAAAATGAGTTGTTCTTTTTTGTTTGTTTGTTTTTTGTTTTTAAAGGTCATCTTCATTACATTCTGCTTTGCCAAAGTCATTCCGTGATCTTGTAATGGAAGAAGAAAAACGCCTGAGTGCAAATCATTCATCTGGTACTGGTATCAAAAGAGCTAGATATAAAGGAACTGAGGATTCATCAGTCCAAAACACCATAAGGTAAGAGAGCAGTCTTTTCCTAACTGATCGACCATTACACAATAAGCTGTTTAAATTCTGCTGAAATAAGAATGATAAAATTGTCATTTTAAAAAAAAAAAAATCCTGTAAGCATTCTTCTAATGATTCTGTTAATAGGATTTTATGAACAGAATACTCTTATCAATAGGAAGCTTAAAGACTAATGCCACTGCTAATATTTTGTTTGAGGTTCGAAGTGTTTGTGTCTGTACATATGGACATGCGTGTGTTTATGTGTATATATATATGGACACAAACACTTCAGGCTCCAAACAAAATACATGTGTGTGTGTGTGTGTGTGTGTGTACATTTTTGTATGTATGTATAAAAATGATAGACCTATATTTTCTAACTTCTGTAGAAATTAGATATTCTTTAGCATTCAAATATGGCATGCATGAAACAGAGTTTGCTTAGGAATATTTCTGTGTAACCACTGAGTGGATAAAATCAGTTTATTCAAACACAGTTCTGGCATTTCCTGATCTGAGTTTTCTTATAAGCTGACTTAATTGTTTAGGTGCAATTTTTTATGGATTAAGAGGGCTTACTGAAATATCGATGTGTGTCTGTGTATTATAATTACTGGGGGACTACAATTCTAAGGACAAAAATAACTTGTTCTGAGGTGCACGTGAATTACATGTCTAGTTATTAGACAATATTGCTCTTTGGTCAAATTGTTTTAGCCACACATCCTCTTGCTACCTCCAATAAAACCTCTGTTTTGGGTTAAAATAACTGTCTAACCTGAGGAAAGGAATCTCAGCCTTATTCCTGAAGGTCTGTATGACTGAGTTGCCCACCCACCTGCATCTCTTCCCCCGATCATCAATAAGTTTGAATGCTATGCATTTCAAATATATTTACGAGACACAGAGCCTGAAAATCTTAGACTTTCCCACGCACTGTCTGGAAGCAGCACAGGCCAGCTGCCCCATGGTGGCAGGGGAGCCAAGGGTGACAGCAGGACTGGCCGGGCAGTGGCCTCCCTGGCAAGGGCACAACCCCACTGTGCCAGAGTGAGGTGAGCAGGGCAGGCTCTGTGACGGAAACCAGGGTGAGCCACAGTGAGTGAGCGCAGACAGACAGTTGGGATGAGGCAGGGTTGGGGTCAAACCTGCAAGTCAAGTCAGGGTCAGGAACAGCAAGGCTGGGTTTGGACATAGCTGCAGTGTAGCTCAAGAAAGGCTTAAGACTGAGGGACTGAGCTTAAATGCAAACTCCTGAGTAAAGAGGGGGAGCCCCCATGAGCCTTCGCACAACTCTTCCTTACAACTCAACCCTGTTTATAGCAGCCCTGACTCAAGTTTACACAGCTGCGCTGAGGGAGAAGAGTTTGCAGAGCTTGTTGGTGCACAGGGAGCCCTGACACCCATTACCTCCCAGTTTTTCTTATGAACTCCTGTTCCATCCCCCTCTAAAAACTGTCCCCTCCATAAGGAAAAGAAAGTTGGGCTGGGCCTCCCTGTTGGTTGCTCAGCTTGTATAGAAACTGGTGTTTCCCTAGGACAGAAGTAGTATGTGTGCTATTGGTAGAAGAAGAAAATGAGGGTAGAAATATTGTGTGTGGGATGGTGTTAGAGGAGAGAAGTAGGAGGGATTTGGAAAGTGTGTGTGACGGGTAGGCATTCTTCAGGAACAGAGAGATAAAGCTGAAGTTATTGTGATGAGTAGAGATGTAGAGACACGAAGCACAAATCTGCAGAAAAACAGGTGTCGTTAATTTTGTTGCTAGCAAAATAATAAAGCTTTTTGTCATATGGGAGATGGCAAGGGCTGGTGATAAGAGAATTTGCACTGGATGCTATTATTAGCTTTCTCACACCTGCTCTGTGATCTTCATAAAATCATTTCTTTTCCTTTTGCATTGCTCTGTCTAGTCTGTGCAGTCTGGCCAGTCTGCACGCTCTCAAAGTGGATTATTTGAGCTGAATCCAGGCCTAATACTTCAGCTGTCTGAAAATGATACATTAAGCTAGTGGGAGCCTAGATGACTAGATTGACTATAATCAGCTGGAAAAGATGGCACTTCCAGAGCTATTTCAGGTAGTTTTGAATTGTGTCTGAAGATGCTTATTTCTCTCTATTAGATATAAAGAGCCTAGGTGACTAGTTCATCCATCTGAAAGCTAGGAGTTGAGTTTCTAGTTTGAGGTAATTTTATTCTTTGATTGCACAGTTCCTGTCACAGTAGGCTCTGATTTTTGCCTGAGGCATTCAATGGCTATTTCTGTGGAGATTAATTATCCACACCCTTACCTCTTCCTTTTTAAGGAAGGGAAATTGCATGTGCATAGAGCATAAGTAATCCTCATCTATTGATGTCAGACTCACTGATGGGACACTGAAGATACTTGCATGGCTACTGTTCCTGCTTTGTCTTTTGTCTTTGGATAAACTGTGCAGTAATTAAACTGACAATTTTCTTAAGTCTCTGGATGAGGGTTTTTTGGTGGCTGCATAAACGCTCTTAATGCAACCCAGAAACTTTCTGTAGATGAACCATGTCATGAATATGGAGATGTGAACTGGATTCAGTCCAGAGGCAGATCAGCCCAAAAGCTGGGCTGTGTGGATGTGGCTGCATTGTTTCCAGTGACAGCTCAGCCTTGGGAGTTATGCTGTGCAGCTGTGCATGTGTAGCTCGTAGTCCAAGCTAAAAACATAGGCCTTACATGACTTAACTTTGTTGTGGCAGCCTGAGTTGTCTTCACTGTGTTACTCCAGGGAGCAGTGAAGAGTCTTAGTGGAAACAAGCCTTTGTGGCTTCGCGTGGGAATGGCCTAGTTCTGGCATGGGTAATAATGAGCTAATAAGTAGTACATGACTCAAATGGTACAGCAAAACCCAAGAGGTTCTGCAGGAGACCAGGCTTTGTGTTCCTTTTCTGAGAGCAGTCAGTCGTTAGATCAGGGAGGCACCGGACCTGAACTGGCTTCAAGTGAACAAATCCTCAAGAAACACTGGGGAGCTGAGTGCTGGGACATCTTGGTGGCTGTGCAGGAGTCATGGCAAGTTCAGCCAACTGAGTTAATCAGGTTGGTTCAGTACTGATAATACTTGGCTGATTTGTTTCCATGCAGAACCACTTATGTCTCTGCATCAGTCTTTAATTTTCAAGACTTCCAGGTTTCCAAGTTCTATATTTTTGAGGCTTTTTTTCCATTTTTCTGTATATGCTAGCTTCCCGTTTCCCGTCTGTTCCATTTCTCCTAGTTATTTTGATGCCAGCTGAGGAATTAATCTAGCATGTTGAAATATCTGCAGTTGATTTAATATCTGGACTGAGTGTCTTGCCAGCAAGAAACACAGATGTACGTATGTACAAACAGCTTCAAAATATCTGAATTGCTTCCTACATTTTAAAGCCACATTTAAATTGAGGGAGATGACACAGGTATTTAAACTTATCTTTTAATTGATCACTAGAGTGTGCTGTGACACTGGAACTATTAATTCCAGTTTTTGGAAATTTCTGTTGTGGTGGTTTTTTTGGTTGTTGTTTGGGTTTTTTGGTTGGATTGTTTAGAAGCTTTACTCTAGAAAGAACTTTTTATCTGTACTGAAGCAGGTTTGTTAAGTATAACAATCCACTTGGATTCATTTATAGTAGTGCTGTTTGGAGGAGGCTGTCCTTGTATATCAGAAATCTGTCCAGATACTGTCTATATGAAGTGTAGACATTCTCTCTCATTCTTTTCCTGTGCAAGATTAGAGATAATTTTTAGTCTTGTCTCAGAAGATGGTCAGTGGAAGACTCAGTTATTCTTCTCTGCATCTATGACAGTTTAGATTATTCTTCCTTGAACCTAAGAGAGCAAAACTGAAAGCTTGTCCAAATAAGCTTTGTCCAGTGTGGTATATGTTGGCAAAAGTATTTGTTTCGAATGGAAACAACTTTGGTTTTTTCCCCACCACATACTTCTGATTCATTATCATGATCAGTATATCCTGGATTCTCCTTTTTCTCTTCAAGCTGAAAAACTCCCAGCTTATAGCTACTACAGCCTTCACTTCACAGAGTCTTTTGTTCGTACTTCTGAATTTCCTTTTCCATTGCTTTGTTCCACAGTCACACTGTTGATTTTTATCCTTTGCTAAATTAATAGCATCTCTTAATATTGTCTGCTGGTTTGAGCTTTGCTGCTTATTGTGTCCACCAACGTTAACTTAGTTATATTTCTTTTAATTAACTTATTCTCTAAAATAATGATTAACCCGGCTGTAAAGTGGGTAAGGAATTAGCTGGGTAGGAGAGGTATGAGAAACTTGTTTAAAAAAAAATAAATGGTTATGTGGCGCTTGACGCAGTGTCTTACAGAATTCCCATATTCGTTTATCACACTTACCGGGCATGACCCAATACCTTTCTTAAATAAAATAGGATTCTCTAACCTGCCATTGGTTTTCTTTTACCAAAGATAAAACAGAAAAAAAATTTACAAGGTACTGATTTTCTACCTTTTTAAACTATTCTTCAACACCTATGGAAAAAGCATTGCATATTAATGAGGTCAAAATAAGGAACTGCAGCTATATAGATACTCAATCTGGAGAACGATATAGCAGATTTGACCACTCTTGCCATGGAGTTGTTGTTTCATGTGTCAATACTTTCAAAGCTCTGGATTAGTGGTTATCCAGAAATGTTCAGTTTGGAGAGGATGACACCTTTTTGGTTTGAAAATGGAGGGGAAGGATCATCTTGACTAACATGAACTGTGCTTTCCCGGTGGAAACACAGAAGCAATATGACACAAGGTGTATCTGCTGGGTATGATTCAGAGGAGTGACACTGTAGAAAGCCTCTTTTGAAGTCCAGTGTTATGCCCTGGCAGCTGTTGCTGCAGATACATATATATTTTTCACTGAGCAGTTAAATAGGTGTTTATTTTGTTCTTTGAGTAGTTGGCTGTTTGGTGGGCAAAATTATGCTTTGTGTCAAAAAGCTGGGCATGGTTCATTTAAATGCCATTTTTGATGATGGATGATGCATTTCAGATTTTTTGAGATCTTGCCCTCATTGCTTAGCGGTAGGAATCATGGTTCTTGTTGTCCTTGGAATTGTGTTCTGGGGAAAATATTCCAGGCAGAGAACTTAGTAGTTACTGGAATTCTCTTAGCTTTCTATAGATTTTTCCTCTTTTCCAAGAGTTTGTGGCCACTTACAGAGGATTACCAAAGCCTTAAAGAAAATTGAGACTGATTTATTGAAATACCAACACCCTTAGAGTTTTTTACAATGCCATAGAATAATTCAAAAAAGCCTGCTAGCATTTCATAGTATGCTGTAACACTTTTTTAGAGTTCTGGAAATCGCAAAAGTTGCCAAAGATAGGTGTTGATTAATGAGAATAGGTCCCTCTCTTCCTACTGATGTAGGATTTTTCTGACAAATATACTCGTCTCTTAAGACATACAGTATATCAAATGTGACTTGTTTTTGTTGAGACGTTAACATTTTGCAAGTGAATAAAATATCTTCGTGTTGGGAATTCTGTTGATATTTCAGGATTTTTTTTTTTTCAATTCTGTTATTTCTAGTTTTATGCTATTCTTATGAATGTGGGAGGTGGTTGCAGGATATGTACTGAAAGTCCATAATTTCTGGGCTTATGCTTGAGGAAATAATTTACTAGTGCTATTGTAGCACTGGTTCTTCTACATGAAACACTTAATTTGAATACAGGACCGTTGTTTGGTTTTTTTGTCTTGAAACCATATTCTTTTCATATTAATTGCAAACATTTATGGTGTTTGTGCATAATTCAGTTGACTATTTTACATGTAAAAAAACCTTTTTTTTTTTTTTTTTTTAAAAAAAAAACATCTTTGTTCAAGTGCTCAAATGTTAGAAAATGCTGAAAATCCATTAAGTTCTGGTAGTCAGAAATGAGCATCAGTGTCTCCTCTAGTCATGGTATCACACTTAAAGACAAATTCAGCATTACATCCTCATGCCTTTCTTCTGGAAAAACCCTATGCATTTGTAATTGCCTACTGTAAATTTGTACTTCACGGTATGATGTAGGAGAATGCTCTGTCAGTGACTTTCATTCTCCTTCCCTACCTTTTTCCAGGTGCACCACTAGAAGTAGCCCAGGTCTGGAAGACCATGTTCTGGATTCTCCACAGCTGGAGAGTCCTAAGTAAGTTTGACAGCGGCTTAGATTCTGGAGCTTTTCTGTGTGTTGTGCTGACCTTGTTCTTGGTGTTACCTCATAATGTCATTTGGTTTTTTTGCAGTCCTTGGTTAGCAGCATCACCAACTAGCTCTCCTGTGATAGCACCTGTCATGTTTTCAGCTATTGTAGAGGAAGAGCTCCAGCAAGAAGCTGCTCTTATTAGGAGCAGAGAAAAACCTTTGGCTTTGATCCAGGTAAAGTGCTAAGTTACTGCAGCTGTGAAGTAACACAAGGAGTTTCTAATGGCTGTTTCAGAGATCAGGTTTTAGGATTAATTATGTATTGGTACACTTACTATCATTTACATAATGATATTAAATATAATTTAATAATAACTTCACATTGCTGTTTGATAAGGTAGGCTTATATTAAAGTCAGATTGACTACTGAGTCCATGGTTAATGCATTCACAGCATCAGAGAATGGTTGAGGTTGGAAGGAACCTTTGGAAATTGTCTAATCCAAACCCCCACTCAGAGCAGGGTCAGTTAGAGCAGGTTGCTCAAAGCCGGGTCCAGGCAGCTTTTGAATATCTGCAAGGATGGAGACTCCATGGCCTCTCTGGGAAACCTGTTCCAGTACCTAACCACTGTCACAGTAAAAAAGATTTTTATATTTAAATGCAATTTTCTGTATTTCAGTCTGTGCCCATTGCCTCTTCTCCTGTCACTGAGCACCACTGAGAAGAGCATGGCTCAGTTGTCTTTTTTTCTCTCCCATAAGATATTTGTACACTTTGGTAAGATCTCCCTAAGCCTTCTCTTCTCCATGCTAAACAACTGCAGCATGCTCAGCGTCTCATATGTCAGATGCTCCAAGCTCTTAGTCATTTTTGTGTCCCTTCACTGGATTGTCTCCAGCATGTCCCTGTCTCTCTTGTACTGGGGAGTCCAGAAGTGGACTCAGCACTCCAAGTGTGTCTCACCAGTGCTGAGTAGAGGGGAAGGATCACCTGTCTCAATCTGCTGGCAATGCTGTCCCTCGTAGAGCACAGGAGGCTGTCACCCTTCTTTGCCACATGAGCACATTGCTGGCTAGTAGTCAACTTGCCCACCAGGACCCCAGATCCTTTTATGCTCAGCTGCTTTACAGCCTGTCGGCACGCAGTGTGTAGTGGTGCTTGGGTTTATTCTTCCCAGGAGCTGGACTTTGCATTTCCCTTTGTTGAACTTCATGAGGTTCTCTTAGCCCATTTCTCCAGCGTTTCTGGGTCCCTCTGAGTGGCAGCACAGCCATCTGGCATATCAGCCACTCCTTCCAATTTTGTATTGTCTGCAACCTTGCTGAGGGTGCACTCTGTCCCATCATGCGGGTAATTAATTAAGATGTTAAACAGTACTGGCCCTAGTCTCAGTCTCAGCATTGGTGCTAGTGACTGGCCTCCAGCTGGGCTTTGTGCACAGCATTGGTGCTAGTGACTGGCCTGTAGCTGGGCTTTGTGCCACTGATCATGACCCTTTGAGATCACCAGTTCAGCCAGTTTTCAGTCTGTCTCGCTGTCCATTTATATTGTCCATACTTAAGCTTGTCCACTTAAGTTCTTAGTCTGTACTTAAGCTCTACCACTTTCCTAGGGATCAAGATGAGGTAAGTAGTCACCCAGATCCTCCTTGCCCTTCTTGAAGTTAGGAGTGACATTTGCTTCCTTCTGGTCCTCAGGAACCAACCTTTATTGCGATAACCTTTCAAAGATTTTTCTGAGAGTGGGCTTGCAGTCATATTGGCCAGCTCTGATCTCAGGGGCCTGGGATTGCTGAAGACTGATCTTACCACTAAAGACCAAGATGAAGAAGGCTGTTAGTTCCCCAGCGTTTTCCATGTCCTTTGTCATTCAGCAGTGAGCCCATGTCCTCTTTTTGCTGCTTGTAGAAGCCTTTCCTGTTGCCCTTCATGTCCCTTGCCAGGTTCAATTCCAGATGGGCTTTGACTTTCCTAATTCTGTTTCTGTGTGCTCAGGCAGTGTCTCTGTTTTCCTTCTGGGTCACCTTTCTCTGCTTCCACCTCTTGTATGCTTCCTTTTTGTTTGAGTTTTGTCATGAGCTCTTTTTTTTGTCCATGCAGGCCTCCTGCCACTCTTGCTCGGCTTCCTGCTCATTGGCATGGACCATTCTTGAGCTTGGAGGAGGTGATCCTTAAAATCAACTAGCTGTCCCGGACCCCTCTTCTTTCCAGGGCCATATCCCATTAATTTTTTCCAAGCAGATCACTGAACAGATCATAGTCTTCTCTTCCAGAGTCCCAGGTTGTTATCTTGCTATTTGTCTTGTTCCCATCTCTCGGGATCCCGAGCTCCACCATCTCATTGCAGCCAAAGCTGCCCTCGACCTTCTCATCCCTGACGAGTCCTTCTTTCTTTATAAGTATGATCCAGCAGAGTGTCTTCCTTCGTCAGCTCCTTGTTCATCTGTGTTAGGAAGTTTTCACCAATGCAAACCTCCTGGAGAGCTTGTGCCCTGCTGTGTTGCCTTTCCAGCAGATATCAGGGTGGCGCAAGTTTCCCATGAGGAGCAGGGCCTGCAAACATGAGGTTTCTTCAAGTTGTCTGAAGAAGGCCTCATCTACTACTACTTCCTGATTGGGAGGTCTGTAGCAGACATGCATTGAGGACCAGTAGAGCTAGTTCATAACCGTGCTACTGGTGTAAATGTAGATCTGACACTGACATACATGTTCTTTTTTCCTTCCAGATAGAGGAGTGTGCTATTCAAGATTTATTAATCCACTATGAAGCTTTTGACAACCCTGATGAATTTGTGACTGTTGAAAGGGCTCCGCAGGGACCTATAGCAGCACCTATGTGGAACAAGCACTGATTCGTACTCTTCACAGTCCATGTTGGATGTGCACTTCTAAGTTCTAGTTCTTGTTACAAGTAAAACGGGACTGGAGGAACAGGAATCATGTAATTTTTAACATCAGCATTAAAACACTGCACATAATCACTAGGTATTTGTTAGAGAGAGTGGAAATAATGTGTTCACTGTGTCCTTTACCCACTATATATTGTGTGTATGTTTTGAGAGAATTTCTTTAACAACACATATTATTAGTAATGTTACATGAAGCTGTAGACTGGAAATGCATTTGCTAATCTTAAATTGTGAGGGTTTTTTGTTAAATTCACAGGTGGCTGAAAAACGAGTGCTTATTTTGTGATTTAATGTGGGATTGAATGTGCAGAATTATACATCTTTAAAGTTTGTGGGGGGTGTGTTCTTCAGAGCTTTCTGGCAAATTGGGAATATTGGAAAAAGTTTGTGCTTGAACATCATGTAAAAGTTTGATAATGCAGTTTTCCTTAAGTTATTTGTGTAAGTACTGGTTCTCTGATTGTTGCAGCTGGTACTTTTTACTGTCATGCTCCACGATGAACCTCTACACTGTACCTAAGTGCCCTGCCATTGCCTGCTCTCAGTTCAGTTGTGCACATTTTTTCACTGTTGTGAGACTGTCCTTTGAGCAGTCAGCTCTGTTGTGAAGTAAAGCACACAGTTGAATAGAACATGGTGGCACTTAATTAGCTCATCTATAGTCTTATTCTGGTAAATATGGTACAGTTTTAGAACTACTGTGTTTAAGGTACAAATCACTTGAAGTGCTGAGGGAATATAAGATCTGTGTATTCATTGTTAAAGCTATAGGGACGACTGCTTGACTGTGGAATTTGCAAACACCTAACCTTCAAAGATTATCATAGGTGGCTTTCAGTATTATGTGTTCCAAAGTTCTCTGTGCCTGGTTTAAACGAATTTATATATATATAAAAAAAAGGAAAAAAAAAAAAAAGTAGCCTTATCTGCAATATTCTGTCTAGTTTGTCCGTTTGTATAAGTGTGTTTGAACTCGTATTTTTTTAGTAGTGTCGGTACTCACGAACTCTGGAAAACTGGAATTGAGAGAGCTACAGAAAATGAATGTAGAGAGTTGATCACTGTGTGATAAAAGAATCTTGAAAAAACCTATGTAGATATGTTTAATGGTTTCAGGTCAAGCTACACCAAAAAATCCCCCACAAAAATTGTAAACAAATGCAATAAACCATAAAATCTTGATTTACACAAAGTTAGTATACTTTTATGTACTGTCTATATACAATCAATGCTTTAGATAACTATAGAGCAATGTAGAAGTATTTCTTTTATGTATGAAACAAGAACTGTAGGCATTTTGAAGCTACACCAGCATAGGAAGATGTAGCTTTTAATTCTATTTTAAGTTCTACTGGTGATTCGTTCACTATACTGATGAGAATACATGCATTAAGTGCTTTACTTGATGCACTGCAAGGCCTTAGGGCCTGCTGAAACTATTCTTCTGAATTAAAAGAAAGCTTATGTACTGTGAGAAATAGCTGTAAAAGCAGTGGGCCTTTCCAGATGTGAAGCCAATTTGTTCTCAAATATAAAATTATTGTAAAGTTGCTAATTTGCATTTTGATTTTTTTTTTTCAAAATTGATTAGAATATACTGTTTATAATGTCAGGAGAATGACATTGTAAGAGGATTCGTGCTTCCACTGTGCCAAGGAGCGTGTGTTTATTGTTGCAGTTTGTTTATGCATCATCACTGATTATACTTAATATTCACAAACAAAAGTGAGGAATGATCAGTGTACCACTCTTCTGAAATTGAGAACATTTTTTAAACTGTTGTGTTAGAACAGCTTAAAGTTAAGGCTAAAATGTGTCACAGAAAGCTGTGTAAACTTAACAGATTCCTTTTTATTTATCTTCCTTAAAACTTGGAAATTAACGGAGTTTAAAATGTCTGAAGCATACTTAAAAAATTCAAATTATAGTAGAAACAGAAACAAAAGTTTCTAAATCTCTGGATACACTCTGGGAGTAGCTTATGGTACACATGAAAACCCAAACAAAAATCGGAACAAGCCAGTTGCATCAACAGATGTAAGTGTCTTTCTGTGGAAGTGGTAGAACTTTTAAATTTTCTTCAGTTGCATACTTTGCTTCGATCGAAAACTATCCTTTCCCAGTATTAATGTGAGGTCAGTGTATATTTTTTTGTATAGATCTGACAATTGCATCTAACCACTGGAGATTGCCCAGTCAACCCCTCCTGCTCAAGCAGGCTCAGCCAGAGCAGGTTTCTTAGGCCCTGTGCACTCAGGTTTTGAGTATCTCCAAGGACAGAGGCTCCACAAGCTGTCTGGGCAACTGTTCGAGTGCTTGACCATCCTCACAGTAAAAAAGCGTTTTTGTATTTTAACAGAATTTCCTGTATTTCAGTCTGTGCTCTTGCCTGTTGTCCTGTCACTGGGCACCACTGAGAAGAAATTGTCTCCATCTTCTTCCCTGCCCCTCCATCAGGTACTTACGCACATTGTAAGATCCCCCTGAAGCTTCTCTTCTCCAGGCTGGACAGTCCCAGCTCTCTCAGCCTCTCCTCGTATGTCAATGCTCCAGTTACCTTTGTGGTTCTTTGCGGGGCTCTCTCCAGTATGTCCATGCTCACCATGAGTGTTATTTTACCAGATGCCTCTGGAAAAATATTTAGGGCTATTTTAAGAGTTTTAAAGCCTAAACACTTCTATTTATGCCTGTTCAATATATAGAAGTAGATCACTATTTATCTAGTGAAATAAGTTGAGATTTGCGATTTGCTTCATTCAGTGCTGGGTGGGTGTCTGCTGGTTTTAATGATCTACAGAAATGTTTCTTCTTCTCTTAATGGACTTTCATATGACCTTCTTCAAAATTTGATATTTTTTTTTTTTTTTACAATCCTACTTTTTTGTTTTAGTCTATCAGAATTCTTAAGGCCAAAGAAATAAGTATATCTGTTAATAACTGCATCGGGAGATAAAAGTATAACCATTAACCTGGTTAGAGATCTTATATGTGTCAGCTGAGTCAATATTGAGAGTTTCATTTCTTCTACTTATTTTTCCTAGAAAAATAAAAATCCCATAGGGAGGTTTTTGTAGGTGTTGAAACTTGCTAAAATTTTTTTTACGTGAAACAGTTATATGCTGAAGTCATAGTTTAAGTTGTTATTATTAGGTATCCATACCCAAACTTTGCGTATAAAGAAACATCACATTTTAGTTGTCTGTGCAACTCCTCTTTTACATTCGATCTCCATGAGGAGAAAATTCAGAGTTTAGGGAATAGCATCCAGAAATTCAACCACCTAGTGCATATGTTAACTTTGCATCAACATGAAAAATCTGGGATTTTCTAGCTCAGATGCCCAAGTTTGTGGCCTTTCTTGTAATGCTAAACATGAATTCCATCTTCGCTCAATTAGCTCTAACAACGTATTGTCATTTCTGGGCTTGTTAACTCCTTTAACTTGTACCAAAACAGGGTGGAATTCCCAGGTCCTAATGAACATAAAGCAATACCTCAGAGTTTGCAGTTTGCAGTAAAAACAATATTTCAAGGAGATGTTATTATAGCTAGCTGGCTTAAGAAATACAAAGTTAACAAAAGTTTTCTAGTGAAATATTTGTTACATCTCAAAGACAAACCAAACGACCTCCAAAGCAGGTTTCTTGAACAACAGTAAGCATTTTGTCTTTTCTCGTTCATCATTCATTATCTCAAACTTTAGTCACTTTTTAAAAAATGGAGGGATAAGTAAAACTTGCAATGTTTTCACATTAAAATGGAGACAAAATTACATCCAGTATTTCAATAATACTGCACTGTCTTCATCACTTGTGATTATAGTCACTGTGTCAAAGTATTTGAGGAATGTATAATGTTTCTGCGTTGTATATTGAAATGAAAACGCAGATGAAGTAGGAGACTTCAGTCAATTACAGAACCCATAACTGCTTTTATTCCTTAAGAAGAGAGGCTGTTTTTAGTGAATAAATTGACTGTTGAATGGAATCTCTGTATAAGAACTGATTTTGCAACTTTTCACACAAGAGCATTGACAAAAAAACTACTAAACTACTAATTTAACTTGTGGTATAAGTCTTGATGATACCTTCCTACCATATGCATTCTAACTGAATTCCCAACCCCCTCCCCAGCCCCCTGTGATTAGTAAGTCATTTATAGGTGGTACCAGGACATTTTAGTTACATATGCTAAAATTAAAGTAGTCACAAAGGCTCTACTGAAGTTTTCTGTTACGGTCAAATTATGGAACTGAACTTCTTTAAATGCTTTTGGACTTCAAATGATTTTGGTGTCTGTCTGTGTCCCCACTCCCCCCTTTTTTTTAGAAAAAAAAAAAGGTTACAATAGGCAAATAATACAGAAAGTGTCTCTGGGCTCTTTTGACAGTGCTCCACTTGAGAAGTTCATTGATTGTTCTGCTATTGAAATTATGTTCTGCAGCCCCTTACCAATCTGAACTCTTTACCGAAGAATTCCTTGCTCTAATGCAATGACAACTTAAGTCAGAACAGAACACTGGATTATTAGTGTTCTGTTATTCTAAATATAAAGGTAAAAGATTTATATTGGAATAAAGTAACTTTAACCCTTAACCCTTGACTTGCATGATGTCATCAGAGAATGACAAGGTCTTTTTGAAGACCTTTGCAGTTACAGGAAACTGGTTAATGGAGGTATCAAATGATCTCAGAATGGATTCCACCCATTGTACTCCAAGAAAAGTCTGTAAAACTCCACCAAAGAGCCTGTTAGTTAAACTGAAGGGAAAGTTCTTCCCTCTCTAACATCTGATGTCAAGTGAGGTGTTGATGAGGCATCCAAAAGGTGAGTCCCTCCTGTCAAGGTTCTAGCTGTGGCAAACCTCAGAAATACCGAGAGGGAAGAGACTGTTTTTGTAGTGTCGTTTTAGGTGTCTAACCTTGAGGAAGAACTTATTAATTGTCAAAGGCCAACAAATTCACACGCATACAATATATGTTTGAAATGAAAAAGTTTTTAGTAATGGTGCAGCAAAGGCATTCTCTGAGTTCAGGGAGTCCTTTTAATGGCTTGTGTGAGATTTTTCTTGGATGGGAGAGTGGTGTCTGACAGAAACTCTACCTAGA